AAGGTTACGGCTGCTCTTTCTCATGCCGGTTTGGAGTCTTCCAATCTGATTGTTGGTATTGATGTCACCAAGAGCAACGAGTGGACTGGTCAATTTTTTGCTTTTGTTTATATCTATGAAAGCAATATCTGGAATTTTAAGTCTTTAAAGTTGATGCTGAGCGAGGTAGGTTTGATTTCCATTCAGGAGCGAGGTCATTCAACAGGCAAAGCTTGCATTACATTGGAACTGCTCCTAATCCGTACGAGCAAGCCATTTCTATCATCGGAAAGACCTTATCCGCTTTCGATGAGGATAATTTGATCCCTTGTTATGGGTTTGGAGATGGTAATGACTTGGACAGGTCTTTCTCTACAAGTGACTGTTTTTTTGCTCGTTTAATTCTTTTTTCTATGTTTGATTCTTGCAGCTACGACCCATGATCAGCATGTCTTCAGCTTCTACCCTGAAGATACTTTCTGTAACGGGTTTGAACAAGTCCTTATACGTTACCGAGAGATTGTTCCTCAGCTGCATCTTGCAGGTTGAGATTCTTTTTTTTCTTCTTTTGGTTTTGTGTGTTTGTTTCTTCTGTTACATGGCTTTTGGTCTCTTCTTTCCCAGGGCCAACTTCTTTCGCACCCATTATCGAAAGGGCCATGACCATTGTGGAGGAAAGCGGAGGACAGTACCATGTTCTTCTCATAATTGCTGATGGACAGGTAAATTCAGATTTGTGCTCTGATACGGTCACTGTACGATATTACTCAAATGATTAATTATATTTTGATGTTTATAAATGTCTTCAGGTGACAACAAGTGTGGATACACATCAAGGCGGCGTCAGCTCGCAAGAACAGAAGACCATTGATGCGATTGTTAGAGCGAGGTAAATATTTCTTGATAGGTTCAGTAAATATCATGTTTTCAATATATAACACCTCTGTAATCTAAATAAGTCTGGTGCGAAAAATCGCAGTCAATATCCATTATCGATAGTTCTGGTTGGTGTTGGAGATGGTCCTTGGGATACAATGACACAGTTTGATGACAACATCCCGGCTCGTGCCTTTGACAATTTCCAGGTAATGCCACTGAAATATTGCGGGCTTCTTTTCCAGGTAATTATTGCCACTTAACAGCTTCTTTTCTTTTTTATGAATTGATCAAACAGTTTGTGAATTTCACGGATATTATGTCGAAGAACATTGATCATGGAAGAAAAGAAGCAGAATTTGCACTTTCTGCCTTGATGGAGATCCCATCTCAGTATAAGGCCACTCTCGAGCTCGGCTTACTCGGGTAAATTTCCAAATTTTGATTTTTGTCTTATCACTATAACCTTTGCAACTAATGTAACTGTCTATATAACCAGCAAAAAAAAAATGTTCTTGTTTCCAAATTTACAGACGAAGAAGGGGATATTGTCCAAACACGATTGCTCTTCCTCCACCAGTCAGTGTTATTAATCGATCTCTGAACAACAACAGCTCGAAAACTTTCTGTTCAAGCACTGTTACTACTGCACCGCCTTTTTCAACTGATAGTAACGAGAGCAAGGTTTGTATATCTATATGTCTTTAATCATAAAGAAACCTTGCATTAATCAACCAATTTGACCATCGTTTTTTTCACAACATAATCAGCTTTGCCCAATCTGTCTGGTCAATACGAAGAACATGGCATTCAACTGTGGCCATCAGACTTGCAATGAATGTGGACAAGACATTCATATCTGTCCCATTTGCCGCACCTCAAACGCAGTTCGTATCAAGCTCTATTAAGAACGATTCTCTTTCAATAGAGTCATCGACCACGAGGTGAACCAAACCCGTTATTTTTTTCTCAGGGCTTCACCATTGTTTCGCAGCTCCAGGGAACTAAAAAGATCATAGTG